CTGCTGAATTTGGGCTTTATTTCCAGTCTGAAATAGTTTTTTCCTATTTTCTTGATTAAATACCTAGTATCTGTAATTCTCCATAATAATGCTGTGTCAGTTACCGTTATCTTAATGTTTCTTGTTATTCTGACGCAATGAATCAAATGCCTTAAATCTTTATGAAGCATTTGTTTTATTTTGAATAATTTTTCCAGTGTTGTTGTTGACATCAGCAATGTACAAGAATTTTGCTGTTAGTCCTGGTTGTATCACATGGAGTACAGTAACTCTTATTCGAGTCAGATTATGCACTTAAACAAGCAGAAAGAAGGAAAATTCTTTGTGCTGCTGTTTCAGTTCGTTCTCGCTTGTGGCCTGTGGTCCCGTATCTCTGTGTAAGCATGAACTGTATTGCTCATTGCTATATGTAGTGTAAGATACAGCTGCATCAAAATTACTTCTCTTTGGAAGTTTTTCCTGTCTGAAATTGTGTATGTACTTTTACTAGCCTATGTAAAATAGCCAAAGGTAGCCTTGTGAAATTATTTTGAAAATGGCACTGGAAAAAAGCCTGCAGGGCATCACTGACTACTTCCTGAGGGCTCAGCCTGTTCTTAAATTATTTAATACACTTTTTTACATTATAATTACAATTTTTGATTATAGCATTAGGCAGCATTAGGTGTATTTGTTTGACAAAGTTACTTTTATTGATGAAATTTGTTAATCTTTTCTGAAACTAGATGTATTTGACAAGGTATATCTTCCATAAATCTGTTCATTGACATTAATTATATACCTCTTCTTTAAATCTTCGTGTATTTTCATATGTGCTTAGGCTGGAAATTACCCTGAGTTACTATGTATGATTTTCTAGGCCAGATGAGGCTTGAATGTTTGAGATGGCTTGTAAGAAATTACAATAAGTGTTTGTAAATGAAGAGTTCCACTGTGAATTTTGCTTGTTTAAGATGTGGTTTCTATAAGCCTGTGTTGCTGCCAAAGGAGATTGTCTGTCAGCTCTGTTTTCCTGTTACCATCTTGTTTATCTGACTGGCACATTATCTAGAGCAAGCAGCTGATCTGGCTCAAAATTACCCTGAGAAATTACTATTTTTTTTTTTTTTCTACCTCAGTTGCCAGCAGCAGCACAGTTCTGGTTCAGCTTATGTCACTCATGGAAAGTGTATCTGTAGAGTGTTTTGGGGGGGGGAAGTTAAGAAAGTGCATTTCCATTGCTTTGCTTGGGTCCTCTGCTTAGATTGCTGCAGACATAAGGATGTCATTAGGTATGTAAGTCATTAGGATTACATGGAAGAAAATTAGAGATGGCATGGATCTCGATAACAGTGGGAGGATTAGAACTGTAATGTTGATTGGTTTGATTACTTGAACTGCTGCAAAAAAAAGGAATCTGTCTGTGGTCCAGTGATGAATCAAGTACCCAGTCAAGGAAACTCTCTGGTCAGTTGGTAACTACTTGAGGAGCAGTGCTTTTGATTAACCGTTTCCCTGTTTGCACTGTTACATACATGTCGCTCTTTGGAAAATGTGGCACAGACGAGGTTTTCTTGAAGTCAGGAGTTGTAACTTACTCCCAGTTGGCAGTAATGTGCTGTAGTGCTAAGTTAGTACGTGGCTTTAAAATTAGAAGGGAGGCTTTTTGAATGATAGATAGCTTTTACTTAGTGAGAATCACTGTTTAATCTGTTACCAAGCTGAGGATGACAGTAAAAGTTTGTCTAGTTAATAAATGAGCATTGTTGTTTACTTTCATGATTTACCTACACAATGAAGGATAGCCTCCTCCCTTTTTTCCTGATTAAGGTGTGCATTTGCTTTTATCTTTGGAGCTCCTAAATGGTGTGCTGTTGGTTATGCTTTTTCATGTGGACTGGTGTGATATGAGTGATGGCAGTACTAGCTTACTAGCTTGCAAACTGTGTTACTTGCCATGTCCTGTGTTACTTGCCACTGATGACCTCAGCTGAAGTGGTCGTGTTTATAAAGCCGAAAATTATAAAGGTGTTGAATGCTGCGTGGAACAGAACCAGACTTTTTCCTGGATAAGCCATGGCAGCATGGCTCCAAATGCATATGGAATGATGCCTTGGTAGCTTCCCTGTGTACCATGTAGTTCTTAGTGTACATCTTATAGATGAAAACTTATTCTGTGAGAATGCTAAAATTTCCGAATTCTGTTAAAAATTTTTTCCACAAGTAAATTAATGTGCTCCTTGATAATACTTAAACAAAGGAAAAAGTTTTTAGTTAATTACAAAATCAACTAAATATAATTTATTCTGAACTTCAAGCCAAAGTAAAATATTTAGTCATCTTCCTGTTTTAACTTGTCAACAGTAATCTTTTTTCAGCTTGCCTCCTTATGCTTTGTCATTTCATACTAGTACTGACTTACCAAATTTTGTGCTTTTTTTTCCTACCAGCTCTGTACTCCTTGCTTTCTCTCCTGCTTTTATGATTTAACTATTTGTCTGCCTTTGAAACTTCTGCCAGATTTGCCTAATTTATTAAAAAAAAACCCAACCAAAACCAAACAAAAATCAACCAAACTTTTTTTTTTTTAAATGCCTATTTTGGGAAAATGGAGTACCATATTTGCAAACCATAACCCCATATATTTAAATGTATATGTGTGTATTTACATTATCTGTTTAACATACCTTTCAGTGTTTATGGCAGAGATATGAAAGAGTGTATGAATTTCCTTGGCTTAAGGAAAGACGCATAGATGTTCTTGTAACTTTCAGATGTGAACTAGGGACTTAACTTGTTCTGTGGATTTGGTTTTTTTTTAAAATTTTCCTACCGTCCAGTTCCAGCCTGTGAAAACTGTGGCCTGTTTTTAGAGGAAAAATGTTCAGTCTATTTTTGACTGTTGAAGAAAGATGTTTCCATATCCTGCTTTCCGTAGTGAGTCCGATTTTAGTAGATGAATGGAGAAGGTGGAAGCAAAATGTTTGGACCTTTTGAATGATGTCAAGGAAGAAAAAAAAGTAGTGCACTAGAGACCCTGACCAGAATTTCTTAGAATGTGGGCAAGAAGTGCAGAGAAACATTGGCAACTTCAAAATGTTAGAGTAGAAAATATAACTTAAGTTCTTTCTCAGTTAACACCTATCAGTTGTAGTAATAACTGACATAATTTTAAGGGGCAAAAAATGTTTGAAATGTGGACTCTTTCAGGAAACCTATCAGTGTTTTAAGTAATGCGAGGTTCAGTGAATTGTCACACAGATTCCAGTGAGAAAAAACAGAAGATGGAATTAAAAGAAACAGAAATTGTGGGCATATGGCATTTTTTTTATTTAAAAACAAAACAAAACAAAAATAAGAATTGAATAATGGATAGGAATATGCTGGTTTTAAATTGAGACTAAAAATAAATAACTCCCACCTCCAAATTATGGAGAGTGGAAGTGTGCCTGTCTGGCATTTGTACTAAGAATGTTGTTGGACACTTTATTTCAAGGTTGGGAAGGTCCTCCACCACCTCGTGGCTGTGAAGTTTTTGTGGGTAAGATTCCTCGTGATATGTATGAAGATGAATTAGTTCCTGTTTTCGAGAGAGCTGGGAAGATCTATGAGCTCAGACTGATGATGGAATTCAGCGGTGAGAATCGAGGCTATGCTTTTGTGATGTACACTACTAAAGAGGAAGCCCAGCTCGCCATCAAGATTCTTAATAATTATGAAGTTCGTCCAGGGAAATTCATTGGTGTCTGCGTAAGCTTGGACAACTGCAGACTATTTATTGGAGCAATTCCAAAAGTAAAGAAGAAAGAAGAAATACTGAATGAAATGAAAAAAGTTACAGAAGGAGTGGTGGATGTCATTGTTTATCCAAATGCCACTGACAAAACTAAAAACCGTGGCTTTGCTTTTGTAGAATATGAATCTCACAGAGCAGCTGCGATGGCTAGACGGCGGCTAATCCCAGGTAAACCTATGTGTAATTAAACTGAGTTTTTGGAGGAGTGTTTTTCTCCATTTTACGGGGAGTGGGGTGGTTGGTCATCCCTGTTTTCCTTTCTTTAAGGTATTTTGAGTTACAGGATTGTCATAGTGCCTTTCAGCTAAAGAGGATTCTTTTTTCTTTTTGGTTCCTGAGTCAGAGGTTTTTTTGTTTGGTTGTATTTTTTTGTTTTATTTGATTTTTAAAGAAGCTGAAATTTAAGCAGTTCTGAGAATGAAAGAACAGACATCTGTTTTGTAACAGATGTAATTTACACCAAGATATGTATTGTCTTGGGCACGCATCCAATTTTCATTTGCATGCACTAGTCTCTGCATATGAATTCTCTTAAAGCTGATCTTAAAAAATATAATGCTTGGAATGTATCCCTTATTTTCTTTGAGTGTCATGAGTGATGTTATTGATGTTTCATATTTTAAAAATGTTTGAAACTAGGTCTTTAATCTTTTACTAGAAAACATTTTTAAGCATTGAACAAGTAGAAGACGACTTTTTCTTTGCACTATATTGTATATGTTTTGAGGCACAGTAGCAGGGATTAAATATACTGAAAGAGGAGGGAATAGGTAAAGGTACAGGTAAAGGGAAATTCTAGAAGAGAAGTTAAATAGGGAGGAAATGAAACAATATAGTTGGAGAAGCAAAGTCATTAAAGCAGATAGTACAGCCTTGGCCTTGCTGAAATGAATGACAAAACTCCTGGTACTTATTAAGGCTAAGAAGGAGGCAAGACTCATGTTAATTGCTGAGAGAATGTTCAGAAGGAGTGTTACCTGAGACTGACATACTTGCCAAGTAATGGGAGAAATATGGCCAGATCACTGAACGTAAAACTGGTTGTGCGATATGCAGAATGTTGGCTCGAAATGAGTGACATGGTGGGGGTTGTTTTAATGTATGGTTTTCATGTCTGCTGTGACATAGAGTAAGGCTTGTGCTAGTGCATATACATTTAGATGACTTTTTCCAGGTGTTAACCTTACTATTTAAAGTGGTAATATTATTAAAGAGTCTGTGTTTACTAACTAGTCAAATAATAAGTTGCATATATAAAGCAATGATATGCCTGTCACAAAATCACAGCATCTGTTTTGACAGCTTATGGTGCTTAATTGACCAACAGGGTACAGTTAGAACACTTTGAATTTTTGCAGAGTCTTATTTTCCTTAATAATTCCAAGTAGCAATATTTTACATACTTCACTTTAGTAGATGCAGGCAACACAAAACAGTTTCATGTGGCATGCATCAGGTTTGCTTTTTGTAGAGGTAATTGGTAAGAATGATTTCGTTTTCCTTTCCATATTTCTCATTGATGTAATGCTTTTTTACTGTAGGAACATTCCAGCTCTGGGGTCATACTGTTCAAGTAAACTGGGCAGACCCTGAGAAAGAGGTTGATGAAGAAACAATGCAGAGAGTTAAAGTATTATATGTAAGAAATTTAATGATATCTACTACAGAGGACACAATTAAAGCTGAATTCAGCAAGTTCAAGCCAGGAATAGTTGAACGTGTAAAGAAGCTGAGAGACTATGCTTTTGTTCATTTTTTCCACCGAGAAGATGCAATTGCTGCTATGTCTGTAATGAATGGAAAGTGCATTGATGGAGCTAGTATTGAAGTGACACTGGCAAAGCCAGTTAACAGAGAAGGTACTTGGAAGCAACCTCAGATAGGTCCCAGTTCTGAAAATCTCTTAGGGTTTCCTAAAAAAGATGATAGTCATCAAAAATCCTTAGGGAAACCAGCAAGTCTTTCAGTTCGTCTTAATCGTCAGCACAGTCCAAGCCCTCCTGAAGTTGAAAGATGCACATACCCGTTTTTTCCAGGAATAAAGCTTACTCCAATTAGCATGTATTCTTTAAAATCCAGTCACTTCAGTTCTGCAGCAATGCATCTGGATTATTTTTGCAATAAAAATAACTGGGCACCACCAGAATACTACTTGCATTCAACCACAAGTCAGGACGGGAAGGTACTGTTGGTGTACAAGGTGGTTATTCGTAGTATTGCAGATGGTTCCCAGAGTTGTTTCATGCCAGACAAACTCTGTGCGACAGTAGAAGGTGCAAAGGAATTGGCAGCGCAGTTCACGCTTCTGCATCTCGGTAAGCATACATGCTTTCAATTAGTTCTTAAGAACTGAAGCTAGAAAAGTTACTTTGAAATTATTTCGTGTGTATCTCGGCTTGTGTGTGTATCTTTACATAAAATATAGTTAGTCTACAGAAGAATTGTTTGTTGTATAGTCAACTGAGTCTGAACCATCAGATGAGAGCACTGAAGAAACACTGTAAATATCTATTCAGTGCAATTTTAGGGTAATATTTGCTTTTATTTATCTACCATAATGATTTATAAGGAGGAGCTAGATGACCTGTTAAGTGACTTAAGTATAAGGTCATCTGTGTGATGATTATGATGCTCAAAATGTCTTTGAAAGGCTGTCTGTGTTCTTGATTTATTATCAGTAGATAGATCAGAAACAGAAGTGGTAGATCCATATTCAGATGAATAAGTAGGTTTGGGAAGCTTTTTGGATTCCTCTTGATAGACATTCTTAAGGCTATAGCAGAGTATCATTACATGCCTCTACATGTATTGTCTTTGGGTAAAGAGTGCTGTCATCTAGTGTTCTTTTTTTTTTTTAGCAAGAAAATGGGAGAAAATAGGAATACAGTTATTCTTAATTGCTTTCTAAGTCTAGCATCTTCATTTAAGTATATTCTATTTCTTAAAATTAGAATGCAGCTACTAGAGAAGGGAAGTTTTTATGTTACAAACCTGTGGTAAAATCTCTTCTTTTCCTAACTAAGAAGACAGATCACTGCGGTTCTGACAGTTATCCCTGTTGCTCTATGAAGTGAAATATGTAACACTTTTGCCATATTCTTCCTGCCAGGATTTTTCAGAACATTGAGCATACAGCATTCAGAACACAGAACTGATTTCTAGTGCTGAGCTGTTCCATTAGTAGTTGTAGTCATCATCTGATCAACCTTTATCCTCAAAGAAATCAGAATTTTGACTCTTCAGTACTCAGATTTGAAGGCTGTTACAGAGCCCTACCGTAATGGTTTGAAAATGCCTCATACTTCCAGGCAAAGCCTTATATAATTTATTCCACTTGTTCTTTTGAACAGTTCCTTTTCTGCTTAGTTAGCTCTTTTTCTCTTTCTGGCCCTTACGTCCTGGTACATTTGAAGATGAAATAGGACTGATCTTTATAATTTTGCAAGTGTTATGAACCATCATGTAATTTCTCTGATCTGCCAAGTAATGTTCTTGTGTATTTGTTGCATGTTTTCTTTCAGCGTGACTAGATCAGTAGATGCTGTATCATGAAATGAATTCTGACTAGTCTTTTGTAGAAAAACATAAATACATTTCTGTCATTAGAAAAAAATGTTCCTAATGAGTCCTAGAGTCAGAGGTTTGGTTTTTTTCTTTTTTTTTTTTCCTTTCTCTGTAGAATTATTTATGTGAAGAATTTCACTGGAGGTGGTAGGCTTGTTCAGATAATACAAACTAGTTTCTTGCTAGTTTCTTGTCTAATTCTGTGTATAAAGTTGGGGATTTTTTGGGTTGTGGGTGTTCTGTTTGTTTGGGTTTTTTTTTGGTTGGTTTGTTGGGTTTGTTTGGTTTTTTTTCATTCAGATTTGGAGCAGTGCCAGAGTGGTTTGGGAGGCCGTGTTTTGGTTTTGGAGTGGTGGTAGGCAAGTTCTTTCCATGTTTCTTATAATATCTGAGAAGTTCAAACAGGTTGTGCTTCAATTACTGTTATTTCCATTTATTGATAGACTGTTGTGTTTTTTTCATATTCTAGTTTAGAATATCAGCCTTCTTAAGCCATGGACTTCCAAGGTTGAAAGGAGTGGCATTCTGTGTTGATAGTACCTGCTGCATGTGGGCCAGGCAGTGTCTGAGGCATTAGACTTGGTGATCCTGTGTAGTGCAGCCCTGAACAGAAGCACCATGAGATTGTACAATACAGTAAATAATCCTTTTCTGATTAGCTGTGCGTGCACACGGGGCCCAGGACTGCATTCACAAGATTTAAAGCTGAGTTCTGCTTTAGGAGTGTGAGGAGGAGAAATGAGAACAGATAGAGAAGTGTTTATTAAAATGCTTTTACTTCATAATTTTGGCCCAGTGAAACAAAATTTTCAGGGAAATGGAAGCAGAAGTAGTAAACTTGTCCTGGTTTTAGCTTGGACAGAGTTAGCTCTTCTTTTTAGCAGCTAGAAGAGCTCCATGTTTTGGTTTTACTCAGAGTCTTGCTCTGAGAAGAACGCTGACAGCCCACTGATGTTTGTAGTTGGCACTGAGGTCTCAAGGACTTTTCAGCTGCCGTGTTCTTGCCAGTGTGCAGGAGCACAACAGGATAAGGGGGGAGCATGGCCAGGACAAGGGGTCCACGACTGTCCTTGCGATTTGTACTTGGACTTAAGATTGAGGGCCAGACTGGCCAATTAGTATTCCATATCATGCAGCGTCATGCCCAGTATAAAAGTGAGGGTCAGCCGGAAAGAAGGGCTTTTGCCGTTCTGGGACTCTCACTTTCGGACTCTCAGAGTGCTTTCTCTCTCGCTCTCTATTTTGGGCCTCCCGTTCATATGGAATTGCGGTATCGGGATTTATCTGTTTCGGGATCATTAGTTCGGGACGAGACGGGCCTCCATCAAGGGGTGGTGAGCAATTACACTGTACATCACTCGTTTGTATGTATTTAGAATCATAGAATGGTTAGGGCTGGAAGGGACCTTCAAAGGTCATCTAGTCCAACCCCCCTGCAAGGAACAGGGACATCTCCAACTAGATCAGGTTGCTCAGGGCCTCATCCAACCTGGCCTTGAACGTCTCCAGGGATGGAGCATCCACCACCTCTCTGGGCAACCTGTTCCTGTGTTCTACAACTCTCATGGTAAAAAATTTTTTTCTAATATCCAATCTGAATCTACCTCCCTCTATTTTAAAACCATTACCCCTTGTCCTATCACAACAGGCCCTCCTGAACAGCCTCTCCCTATCTTTCTTGTACATATCCGTACATATATATATTGGTAGCAGTACTAGTAAATTGTTCTTATCTCAACCCACGGGTCTCTTTTCTTTTTCTTCTTTGATTCTCTCCCTCATCCCTGGGGGTGGGGGAGTGAGCAACTGTGTAGGGTTTGGTTGCTGGAGCAGCCTAACCCACAACTTAACTGAAAGGTTAAGTGGAGTCCTGTGTTAGTGATGACTGCTGCTGTTCCTGAGAAATGCTTTAAGAAAGACTTTTCTGTTTCCTTCTAGTCTCCTCTCCCTGTCCACGCCCCCCACTCCCCCTTTTATTTTTTTTTCTTGTTTTTCCCCTCACCCATTCTAGTTTTGGTGGATTGTAAAAGCTACTTCTGATAGCAAAGTGTTAAAATAGTGTTGCCATCTTTCTCTCACTCATACTGCTACTAGGTGCTTGTTCTGGAAGTCTCTTGATACTTAGGCTGTGGTAAGATTTTTCTTCTGGATGAATTTGTTGCAAACTTACTGCAGGCTTGACTATGATGCCTTTTTTTGCAATGCACGACTGAGATGTAAACCATCTTTTTCTTCTTGCTTAGAATCTTGCTTGTCCTTGGTTCTGATTTTGCATGCCGAAAAGGTCTTGGAGGAAGAAGAATCTCCAAAACGCAGAGCCTTACACATTATTGCCACTTTAGCAGTGCTATGTTTGGTTTGCATTAGTAGGTCACCTGCAGAAGGTGATACTTTTCAGATGGTCAAAGTGATGAGAATTATTTGAGAATATTATGAGAATAATGACCATTATTCAGATGGTCAAATTGATGAGATGTAATAAAATCAAATTTTACTGGTTGAGTGACCATTTTTTTTTCTAGCTATGAAAATTAGGGCCATACCTTTATAATTTGTGTGATCCTGACCACAAAGGATAAAAAGGATTATTAAACTCAAAATAGTGGTGTAATGCTCTCCTTATTTAAAGAAAAACTAAGACAGCTTCAGGTTCTGTGCTTGACCATGTATACCTGCCCATTTTGTGGCTTACAGATAGCATTATATAAAGATAATATTTTCTCTCCTATGCTTCTTCAGGAAAGAATCACCAGAACAATTAAAAAAAAAATAGACTAAGAATGATTATTAACAGCTGTGGTCAAACCCAGAATGCAAACACGTTTAAAAAAAATGAAGAAAATATGTGTTGAGATTTTTATCTCTTCCATTAGAGTTACTAGTGCTATAGGGAAAACATTTCAAGGTGAATTTATATTAACAGTATTTTAAAGCTTTTTAGCACTTCAGTGTGCATTAGGATCACAATTAATGTGAATTCTTAGCAGAATTTGCAAATCCTAGGTTTGGTTTTTAAAAACTGTCCACCTAATGGCCTAGTGCTAGTAATGCTGCCTTGTTTTCTTCGAACTATGAAACTTTTTTCTTTTGATGGCCTCTGTGCATTCTTGTTTCTGAAGATTTGGCCCTGCACAGAGGACGCAGAGCTGTATTTGAAAGCAAACATACATGGCTGACTCTTGAAAGATGCATGTCTCATGCTGATAAAAACTCTTTTTGACGTTGGCATTGTCATGATACTGAAACATAGCCCTAAGTTGTCTAGAAATATGATTTATTTTCCCTGTCTAATCCACAGAAGTTGCTTTTTGTTCCAACTTGATGTATACACTGTATTGAAAGAAACATCTGAATCTAAAGAAGAGTCACTAGATGTGACAGAGGATCCCTCCTCACTGAAGTGTCTGTTGTGTGGTTTAGCACGTTGAACGATGCCACATGGCTGTGTGTGTTTGGTGTATTTTTTTGTTGTTCTGTTAGTTTTTTTTATAAGTAGAAGAGATTTTGAGAACAATCTGAGTGTGTTTCTTCTTGGAAGCAACTTACTATAAGCTTGAGTGTACAAAGATGACACAGGGAGTAATTTGTTCTGGTAAGTAACTTCCCTTGGAGGAATTTCATTTTTCTGCTCACTTTGTTTTTGATGATGTGTACAGGTTTGTGTTTGGTTTTTTTTTGTTTTTTGTTTTTTTTTTGTTTTTTAAAGCATATAAGCAGACTAAGGTAAGTGAATGAGAAGGGACTGCTTTGATAGAATTTTAAAATTGGACTGTTATGGTTAATAATCTCAAAGCACTGTGCTGGCTTTTTTTTGGTGATACATATTTCTGTATTTACTTTCACTTAACAGAATACTTGATTGTTACTGCATACAGTAGTCCTGAACAGACAGCAGTACAACAGTTAACCACTTGGTGTCACCTGAATATTTTGAAAATGATGCTTGGAGAAAACACAGAAAGCTATGATTTCACCTGTAAGATGAATAAACTATATTTTAATGTTAATAGATAAATCATGAACAGATCAAGAGAATGAAAAAACTGGGGCTTGTTTAAATTTATGGAAATTACGCATCTGGATGTCCATTTGTGACAAGGGGAGCAGAGCTCCATGTTGAAGTTCCAGAAGGTGAATGGAGAGGGGGAGCAACAGAATAGGATAAAGTCTGAATGCCCCATAGAAGACATTAATACTTTTTCCATTAATTTGAACTTCATTTCACCCTT